ACCTTGTAAAATACACTCTAGAGAAGACAGAAGTGCCTCAGGAAGTGGCAAAAAACGATAGATGTTCAAAGGAAGGGGGAGTATTTTGCGAAAGATTAACAGCAATGTATCTTTTACCATAATTCAAATTTTTGTTTTGTAATTTTTTTTTTTGTCTTTTTTGAGACAGGGTCTCACTATGCAGTTCAGGCTGGCCTTGAGCTCACTTTGTTGCCCAGGCTGGTCTTGAACTCGCAACAATCCTCCTGCCTCAGCCTCCTGAGTGCTGGGAGTACAGGCATGTGCCACCAGGCCCGGCCTTAGTTTTGTAATTTTTTAAACGTAAGCACATACCATATTTTTTGATCAATACTGTGTGTGTAACATAGCATCCGTTTTTCTTTAATGGGCTCTTTTCATGTCCAGTAATGGTTGGCTGTGAACCTAGCCTGTGTTGATTGTTGGATAGAGGTCAGTTTGGCTAACCCCTTCCTAAGGCTAGGCAGCTATTTGCCTCTGATAATGTGTGTGTTTATAGTGGAGCAAGGTTCTCAGTTAAACCTAAGTCCAGCAATAACGAAAGCTAGTTAAAAATGACCCTCTGTGGCCTTGTGGAACTCTTCTGGGTTGGTGCCTACTTCCTGCTCTCCAAAGTAGATGGCAGTGACTGAGGGGTTCTGACCTCAGGCTGGACAGTCTCTTCTCAGTCTCTTCTTTTATTTCCTCCACTCTCCTTACATTTCAGGCCGGAAGTTAGCCTGTTAAAGAAAGAGCTTGATGCTGTTTTGTCAAATCCTACCGAGTATATACAAATCCATGGGTTCTAAGCGAGCTTGTTAGGGAGTGAGGGTCTCTAGAACAGACCCTCAAAAATAGGTAGAGGAATTCTTACGTGAGTTCCAAGGACTTGAAGAAGTGGCCTGCTTCCTAAATTGAAGTGGGCTCCTCAATGTGAACAGGTGGCTTATGCTTATTTCACGTCAAAGGAGTGGCTGCTTTGGGTGTGTTACCCACAGGTGCAACTGTGTCTGACCCTAGTCCCACCCTCTAGCTCTTTGTGTTGTTTACAGATCCCTGGTTTTGAGGCACCATAAAGTAGTTTAAGATGTCACAATAATTACTGTCTTAAAAAATTAAGTAGAATTTAATGCTGTATTTCAAGGAAGTAGGAATTAGTTGATTGAATTTGTTCTGCAGCACTGGAGACAAGTCAGGAACTCTTGCAGTAAAGCCCTGCACCAGTGAGCTACACCCACTGCAAGATGATTGCATTTCAAGAAGTTTGGGGCTGTCTGGTGTCTTTACCTGCTTATCTTCCACCTCCCAGTCAATTAAAGACATTTCAGCTCCTTCTGCTTCAGGTTCAAAACACACAGAGCTGTGTTTGTTTATTTTAATTTCTCTTATTAATGTGAGAACTGAATAGTGTTTCAGTTACTGTTGGTACATCAATCATACACGTAACTTGTATTAGAAAATCAAAATGATATTTGGTTTATCTCTCTGCTAGACTATCAGCATTGGTGGTGTCATCTTGAAACAAGCCAAATGAGAACAGTGTGGCATTTACTTATGTATTTATTTATTTATGGATTTTTTTGAGGCAGGGTCTCACTATATCATGCTAGCTGGCCTTAAACTCAATTATGTAGCCAAGGCTGACCTCAAACTCACCATGATCTGCCTCTCAAGTGCTGGAATATAACAGGCATGCACCGCCATGCATGGCCAGTATGGGGTTTGGATATGACCTTTTAACAGAACTGCTTATAGACAGAACACTGTTACAGCTGGCATGGGAAGTACTTATATGCTTTTCAAGCACATAAAGTGCTTTCCCTTGGAAGAAAATTCACTAAAGGCTTCTCTTACATAGAAAGCTTCTCTCCTGTATCTGAGGTTGTTTTGAAAGACTGACTCATAAAGTTTCAGGAGTATTTTAGGGATATCATAGAACTACTATGCTCTTCACAGATACAAATTGATAGGAATAAGATGGAAATTGTCTAGCTCAATTTTTTTCTCTGACTTGTTTTACGTAATAGTATTTTTAATTTTGTGTCTGGGTATTGAAATAGAAATGCTGTTTTCTCAGTAAAACATTTAATTTTATTTATATATAATCATACTTTTCATGGTAGTAGACTGAATCACTCTTACTTGTTTGAATTATTTAGATCATTTATCACTTCAGTTTTAAAATTAACTTAAGGATTACGGGTGTAGCCCAGTTGTATAGCACTTGCCTTGCGTGACTGAGGTCCTTGGTTCGATTTCCTATACTGCAAAATACGTAAACTTATTTACAACTAGAAAACCTGATTTCTGGTACAGACAAGTATTAAACTTGTAAGCTGTTATTTTTCCTCCCTAGAAAAGGCTATTTAAAATAGGCTCACGGTGGGGCCTTTTCATACTGGTTCTAGTGACTGGGTTTGAGCAGTGTGGTGGAATCGTGGTGATAAACTTCTTGTACCAGAAAGAGGAAGAGATTGTGTTTCTGAGAATGTTATATATGTCTTTGTGTGTGTGTGGCCTTTTTTTTTTTGAGATGGGGTCTCACTGTGTAGCCCGGGCTGGGCTCAAATTGACGACAAGCTTCCTGCTTTAGCCTCCCGAGTGCTGGGCTTACAAGCATGTGCCATGTTTTGTTTCTGAGACAGGGTCTTGCTATATAGTTTAGGTTGGCCTTTAACTCAGAGGTACTGTTGTCTCAGTCTCCTGGGTGCTGGAGTTACAGGTGTGTGCCACCATGTCTGGCTTTTTTGTGTTTTTTTGAGACAGGGTCTCACTGTGTATTTCAGTTTGGCCTTAGTCTTCCTATGTAGCCCAGGCTGGCCTTGAACTCCAGGTGATAGATCCTCCTAGCCTCCCAAAGGCTGGGATCACCAATGTGTGCCCCCATACCCAGTTTATTGCATCTGGTTTAAGGCTTAGATTTAAAATTTTTTTGTAATTTATATAATGTTCTTTGTTTTAGAATCAGCATGTTTTGTGTCAAGTAGATAGTATGCAATAAATGTCCATTTTATAAATCTCAGCATAATATTTAAGCACTTAGATGCGCTTGAGTCAAATTAATCAGAAAATTCAGATTTCAGTTAAGGCTTTATGTAAACATGTGGTTATAGAAGTTGATTGTAGAAGTCTGCAATGAAAAAGGCTAAGGCTAAGTTCTTGTTTCAGAGATAATCCAAGTTCTATAACCCAGTAATCCACTGAACTTCATTTTTAGGATGTCAGTTTTAGCCTTATACAAATCACCGAATCTTTCAGATAATTGACTTGTTCTGTAAAATACCATAACCCATGGGATTTTGGGTTCTTTTTGTGTCAACTCTATCAAATGTTTATAGCAGCTGTTACTCAGCAGGATTAGGGCTTCTGTCTTGTCTACTAGGGACTTTTTGTGGTCTCTGTAGCATGACCATTCTTGATTCATTCTGCTTCGGGTTTTGTTTTTGTTTTTTCCCAGATGGTAGTCTGTTTTCTTTTTGTATTTGTCCCTTTTCTTTGACTACTAAATTTGATTACTTAAATCTACTTAGCAGGGATGACATGCTAAGTATCCTCCCATTTTAATTTTCTTTTTCTCCCCCATTTTAATTTTCTTTTTCTCCCCCATTTTAATTTTCTTTTTCTCCATTTTAATTTTCAAAAATTTCAAGCCTGAAGGAAAAATTGAAATAATAGTACAGTGACATTATCTATGACCCCTTTAACTAGATTCATCAACTGTTAAATTTGCCAAGCGTCCTCCCTCCACCTTTCTGTTTTTGTAACATCTGTGCCTGAGTAAAAAATGACTCTGAGCTGGGGGTGGTGGTGCATGCTTGTAATCAGGCGGCCTCCTGTAATCAAGAGGCCGAGACAGGAAAATAGCAAATCCAAGGCCAGCCTGGGCAGCTTAGCAGTATCAAGTAATTTAGTCCAAACTGGGCATGGTGGAGGATTCCTGTAATCCCAGCAGGAGGATCGCTGTGAGGAGGCTGACCTGGGCTACATGGTAAGTTCAAGGACAGAATAACTACATAGCAAATGAACTACCTGTCTCAAAAAAGAATAAATAAACTAAAATATAAAATAAGAAGGGCTGGAGATGTAGATCAGTGATAAAGTACCCTTAGATTTAATTCCCAGTACTGAAAAAAAAAGTGGCCCTTGACTCTTACTTAGTAGCTGGGGTTTTGAGGTAAAACTACTGCCTCTTTTTTTTTTTTTTTCTTCCCTCTTTGAGACAGAGTTTCAATATGTAGTTCAGGCTGGCCTTGAACTCGCTGTGTAGCTTCGGCCTGGCTGATCTTTCTGCCTAGACTCCCAAGTGCTAGGATTATAGGTGTGCGCCATAGAACTCCCACCTCTGCGTCTTCTCTACTGCTGGAAAGCTCTGGACACTTCTTTTATCTCTCAAGAAACCTTTCATTCAGGGAACTTGCTGAGGGTTGGCCACACACAGCACACACCTGCCTGGAGCACTGTGCAGGAGCAGCTAGGACTAGGTACATAAGAACACAAATGTAATATCATTATCACACTCCCCAAAACCATTATTGATAGAATAGCATTATCAAGCATGCAGTCATATTCAGATTTCTTACTTGTCCCAGTAATGCCCTACTCAGCTGTCTCTATCACTGTCCCACTTCAGTGTAGGACCCAATCACCTGTCACACCAAGTTTAGTTGTCCTGTAAATTAAATGTTTTATTTTGTTAGGGTTTTATCGTTCTGAGACAGGGTCTCACTGTGCAATTCAGGGTGGTCTTGAACTCACTTTGTAACCCAGGCTTGCCTTTAACTTATGGTGAGCCTCCTGCCTCAGCCTCACTCCCGAGTGTTGGGATTACAAGCTTGTGCCACCATGCCTGGCTTAATATTTTTTGGTTAAAGATGTTTTCTAGAAAAATGATAATTTGCAAGAAAGTTTGACATATAATTAAAGTAGCCTAGTAAAGAAAAGTCTTCATTAACTTGATACAGTGGCATCTATCTTATTATATTTATTGTCTGTTTCATGACCAGGTTCTTCTGTGTAGCAGCTCAGAATGATGAATCAAGCCAGAGCCACGATCTCGAACTTGGTAAGATGTTTTCCATTTTAGGTCTATATCTGCAAGAATGTGAGATATACAAGCATAGCTTCTACCCCCCCAAACTGTCACCAGGCATTCTTTTATACTTGAACTGGTCATCTTGAGGTCTAAGAGATCCCACAGAGGAAGGGTGTGCTCAGTTTGGGTTTAAGTTAATTCTAGAAATATTGTAAGAAGGTTCAGGTAGTTTGGATGTGTTGAGGGTGTCCAGGTAGGTAAAGATGAGCTAAGAAAGCGCAACTCAAAATGTATAGTAGGAGCTGGGCGCTGTGGCCTGTGCCTGGGGTCCTAGCTATTACAAGGCTGAAGTAGGAGGTTCATTTGAGCTCAGGAGTTTGGGGGCAACCCAGGCAACATAGTAAGACCATGTCTCCTTTAAAACAAGAATGATAGTGGTGGTGAGGGGGTGTGTGATAATTAGAAAACATATGAAAATAAACCTGGAATGAAAGGGATGCATAGGATGAAGTCCAGCATGTGATGCAGCCTTCATCCACCATCTACAGAAGTGGGCACGGGAACAGTGCTGTTTTGAAGGGGGATCTTCATTTCTTTTAGGAATGTAATCAAGTCATAGCACTGGGCTACTAACAAGCATAATATGTGAGCAGACTTGCTGTAAATGCTAATTCCCTTCTCCTTTATGATGCTTTCTTTTAAAAAAAAAAAAAATCCCAGTTTGGTGGAGAACCATTGTCATACACCCGATTTAGTCTGGCTCGGCACATAGATGGAGATAACAGTCATGTGGAGATGAAACTGGCTGCAGATGAGGAAGAAAATGCTGACAGTAACGTGAGGGCCAATGTCAAAACACCGAGAAGGTGTACCGGAAGCCTCTGCTACAGTGCTATCGCGGTCGCCCTCTTTTTCTTAATAGGTAGGTGTTTCTTACACCCAGCTCTGGGAAGGCCATTATTTCAGCTCAGCTATTTATTCTGTACTTTTTAAGTGCCACTGTGCACGGAATAAGACTACGATAGTAACTTAGATTCTGTACCTGCCACTGAATTTAGTCTGGTGGGAAAAGAGAAAGCTGTGAGTCATTGCAGTAAAATGCACAGATGTTATACTAGAAAGAGCACGGGATCCTTGATGCAGGATACTCGAGGCATGGAAGCAGCCTGAGGTTTCAAGGAAGATTTTTGGTTAGAAAAAATACATACCTGTGTTTTAAACAGGTAACTGTAAAATAGTTGTTGTACAATTTATTATATAATGTACGGGATTATGTGATTTAAAATCTTTAAATTTAAAATCTTTAAATAACTACACCATGGTGCTTTATTTGCTTTCTGATTACCTAAAATTTAATTGAAAATCAGTATTTTCAAGACTTGGGTGATAATATTAACAGTTCTTATGGAGCTGGATTACAAATGAATTCTATGAGTTTAGCTTTACAACTTTTTATCTTAGGCTTTATGATCGGGTACTTGGGCTACTGTAAACGCATAGAAGCCAAGGGTGCGTGTGAAAGACCGGCAGTCACGGAGGTGACGAAGGGGTCAGAAGACCTGGAGCAGGAAGAAGAGGAGATGCCCCAACTACCTTCTCGCTTATACTGGGAAGACCTCAAAGCCATGCTGTCAAAGAAACTCGACCCCGCAAAGTTCGGCAGCACCATCAAGTAAGCTTGAGCGGCTCCCTGAGCCCAGCTGCAGTACCCGAGCAAACACTGCCGACTGGGTGTGGTGACACCACACCGCTGTGGCAGATGCGAGGAACATTTAGAGGAGGGGAGGCTTCCCTCAGTTAGCTAGGGCAGGGGTGAGAGAGATCAGTAAGAATTGAAACTGTGGGGCTGGGGATTTAGCTCAGTGGCAAAAGCGCCTGCCTGGCAAGCGCAAGGTCGTGAGTTCGGTTCCCGGTACCAGAGAAAAACCGAAGGGAAAAAAAAAAAAAAAAAGAATTGAAACTGTGCTGGTAGGCAATTGAGAACTTTTCTGAAAATGTACATACAAGTCCTTTCTCTGTCATGATTTTGGTGTCTTATTTCTTGGTCTCGGGCTTTCCTCCGATGTTCCATCATATCCTCTTAACAGTGTCGTGCTGAGCTCTGCTGCTGTCCCCACTCATCAGGCTTTTTCTTCATCGTGGATCATGACTTACTTGAGTGACTTTATAGCTCTGGTATTTCTTAAGTTCTGCTGGTTCTCACTTATTAACCTATAGCCCATCCGTAAGGTTTTTGTCCTTAGATTTTTATTTTTAATTTTTTGGTGTTTTGGGATAGTCTCACTGTGCATTTAGGCTACTCACCTGTGTAGCCTGGCTGCCCTCACAACGCGTGGCAATCCTCCTGTCTCAGCCTCCTAAGTGCTGGGATTATAGATATACACCACCATGCCCACCTCCGTCCTTAGTTTTTACTTTACGTCTCTGTAAAGAACAAATTAATCTTTTGCCTTTTCATAGCTGCTTACAGTTTCAGTGGTTTTAAATTATAAATCTTGGCATTTTTACTTTTGCGGTCCCCCGCTTTTGTTTTTTTGAGACAGGGTCTTGCTTTGTACTTCAGGTTCACCCTGTGAACACTATTGTACTCTAGGCTGGCCTTGAACTTACAGTGATCCTCCTGCCCCAGCCTGCTGAGTGCTAGGATTACAAGCTTGTACCACCATGCCCGGATGTAAGGTTTGTTTTTTTTTTAATTAGTACATGTTTGTAGCACATGATGACATTTATTATGGGAGCTGGTACATGTACATAATACACCTTAATCCTTTTTTGTCCCTTTCCGTCCAACTGTTGTTCCCCTTCCTATTTGAAAAAGCTCTTCCATGTTTCCCCTTCTTTTTTTTTAAAATCCATTTTCCTTCCTTTCTTTCCTCCTCCCTGTATTTCTTGTTCCCTTCCCATTTGAGAAAGATCTCCCTGTTTATCCTTTATTTTGCTCTTTATTTATACTTTGGGTTTCTCATATAAGAAAGCCACGTGATACGTAAGTGCGTGTCTCAGATTTATTTTACGTAACATTATGGCCTCAAAGTGCGTTTGTTTTCCTACAGATGGCTCAAGTTTATCCTTTATGACAGGGTAGTACTCCATTGTGTGTAAATACCACATTTCCTTTATCTATTCATCTATTGATGGATACAAAGAGTGCTTCCAAAAGTTTTATTTGTTTTTGGTTTTGAGATAGGATCTCACTCTTTAGTTCAGGCTTGCATTGAACACACTGTGTAGCCCAGGCTGGCCTCAGACTCATGGTGCTCCTCCTGCCTCAGCCTCCCTACAGGCGTGTGACACCATACCTGCTGGCTCCCTAGATTTAGCTATTGAGTTGTGCTACTATAAATATGGGTGTACCTAGATCACCTTAAAATGATGACTTGTATATGCATATGTTACACAACTGGCATTATGGATAAAGGTAACACATGTGGGTAGTCCATAAAAAAATATGTACATATTAGTAACAGTTGAGTTTATTTAGAAAGCACTTGGGAGATCAGACAATGAGCACTTTTATCCTGGGGGATTCAGCATGCTTTAAAGAGGTGAAGGTGGGAGCTGGACGCCCCGTGTCCAGCAGCAGGAGGATCACGGGCTGCTCTTGGCTGTGGTGGGTCTCCTGGAAGCCACCCTACGAGAGTGTGTCCTATTAGGGTGGGGCTCTCCAAGGAGGGTTTTGTGGTGGGCAAAGAGGTTTGAGCAAGTTTGCAGAAATGTTACTTAAGACATTTTGGTGTAATTTTATTCTGTGTTTTTCTCTGTCTAGCAATGCCAGAGTTTGGGTCATTGTTCATATATCAACTATGAGGGATAATACAAATCAGTTTTTTTTGATTCTTGAGTTAAACATTAATTTTAAATATGCATTTTAATTGAGACTTCTTTCTTCCAGACAGCTGAATGAAAATACATACATCCCTCGTGTAGCTGGATCTGCACAAGATGAGAATCTTGCCTATTTTGTTGAGAATCAGTTCAGTGAATATAAACTCAGCAAAGTCTGGCGGAATGAACACTATGTAAAGATTCAGGTCCAAAACAGGTATGTGAAAGATGGTAAATTTACAGGAGTAAGTAATTTCATGTATGGAAAATAGGATAGACTTCCCTTTTTTTGTTTTTTGTTTTGTCTTTTTGAGACAGGGTCTCCCTCTGCAGTTCAGGCTGACCTTGACCTCACTTTGTGGCCTAGGCTGGTCTTGAACTTGGAAGGATCCTCCTGCCTCAGCCTCCTGAGTGCTGAGATTACAGCTGTGTGCCACCACTTAGGCCTTGGTAGACTTTCAAAGTAAGAATCAGGCCTTAAGATACCAGTAAAAGTCCCTGGAGGCAAGAAACAGGCCAAATGCTAGACATACTAAAGGTTTTTATTTGTTTGTTTTGAGGCAAGCTCTTGCTATGTAGTTCATACTGGTCCTAAACTCACTATATAGCCCAGGCTGGCCTTGAACTCACAGTGATTCTCCTGCCTCAGCCTCCCTCCGGAGTGTTGGCCTAAGGCTATTTTTTATCCAAGGACAGCCTTAGCTTCATTTTAATGTATTTTTTTTTTTCTTTTTTAAGCACTGCTCCAAACTCTGTGACTCTGACAGGTGCAAATAATGACCTGTTGTACCTAGTGGAGAATCCTGAGGGTTATGTGGCATACAGCAAAGCTGCGACAGTTACTGTAAGTAAGGCAAACAGTGCAGGAGGCTCTGCTCTCCTTGACTCACTTGGCTAGTCCTTGTCTGTGCTACCCCTTTTTCCTCTTCTTTCTCTGCTGTTCTTAGGCGTTATACTCTTAAGTTCACTGGTAAGATGTAACTGACCATGCAACAGACATTCTTGCTGTCAGCCCTCCAGGGTCTCAGTCAGAATAAATTACAAGACTTAAATAGATCTTACTGCTCACCTCTTTGGTCACTCTGACCTCCTTACTCTTCACATGATGAAACTCACCAATAAGATCACTAACTTTCATTTTGCCCAAGTGAAAAAGGTTTAAGCATAAAAAGCTCCCACCTCAAGACCCCTATAAAATTTTACTGGGTGAGGTAGCGCACACCTGTAATCCCAGCACTTATGAAGACTGAGGCAGGAGGATTGCCATGAGTTTGCGGTCAGTCCAGACTCCATAGGGAGTTCAGGTCCACCCTGGACTACTTAGTGAGGCTCTATCTCAAAAAAACTAAATAAGTAAAATTTTAAAAAGTTGCTTTTCCCTTTGCCAGTACCCCCCTAAACACAGAGCAATTTGTTCCCGTACTTCGTGAAAATCTCTTCTCTAGTATTGCCTCATTAGGGAGAGTTTTCTTATTTTTCCAAAAATACTTCTCTTCACTCTCCCCTCATTGTGCCTTTATTTTCTTCACAGTATTTCTTGCACCTGACATCACCTGTCCATTTATTTCCGCTAAGGTGTGAGCGCCATGAAGAGTGAACTCAGGGTTACTTTCATTCACTGACGTGTCGCAGAGCCTTGGAGAGCTCTTGACACATGGCAGGATTCTAAGTGAATGCAGATTCCAGATGGCCCACATGAGGATAGATGTAAACACCCATCTTGGCTGGGCATGCAGCTTGGTGGTTGAATGCTTGCCTGTGATACATGAGGTCCTAGATTCAATCCCCAGCACCACAGAAACTGACAAACTGGCTGGGGTCTAGTCTTAGTTTGATTCTTTTATGTTTGAGCTTTTAAAACTTGGCCTGAGAAATTGAAAATAGCCAAGTAGAATTAGGGTAGAGAGGAATAACAGGATCTTGTTATGTAGTTCAGGCCTACCTTGAACTTACTGTGTAGCCCCGGCTGGCTTCGAACTTGGGGCAATCCCCCTGCTTCAGCCTCCCGAAGTACTGGGATTATAGGTGTCCACTGCCACACCTGGCTGTTATTATTATTATTATTTTTTTTTTTTCTTAAAAAACAAGGTCTCACTTTGTAGTTCTGGGTGGCCTTGAATTCACTATGTAGCCCAGGCTGGACTTGAACTCGAGGTGATCCTTTTACCTCAGCCTCCTTAGTGCTGGGATTACAGGCATGTGCCACCATTCCTGGCTTATTATCCTTATTATTTTAATGATGATATTTTCAGGTTAAAACTCACACTAGGTTGATTCCTGGTACAAAAAAAAAAAAAAAACAAACAGAAACTCACACTGGGGGTATATCTAAGGGGTGCAAATGAAATTAGATGGTTATTATCTTTTTGTTACCTGTATCACCACTTTCCCTAGTATCTATAAGCCAGGAGTTTAGAGATAGATTGTTATAGAACATAAGGGGCTGGGGATATAGCTCAGTAGCATAAGTGCTTGCCTGGCAAATACAAGATCCTGAGTTCGATCCCCAGTACCAAAAAAAAAAAAAGATTATTATAGAACATGGAAGACCGTATTTCATCTGCAAGCCTTATATTCAGATGCTAGGTTGTGGTCAGGTTATACCTGCTCTTGGGAACAATATAGAGTTTAGGAACATTGTGATGACAGCTTATATAATCATCTAAGAATTGGTTTATGCAGGATACTTTATTCTAGGGTATGGCATTTCAGATTTTTTTTGGAGTTTTATTATCAGGCCTTTCAGTTAAATCTATTCCTACTCCACATCTGTCCTCAAGTGTCAGAGGTTCATGTGTGGAAACCTTATGTAACTGATGCTTCTATGATGAGCATATATATGCCTCTGTGCTTAACAAATGCTGTTATCCTTCCTCTTCCCCAGAAAATACCCTGTAAAGGTGGCAAGACATAAGGAAAGACATACATATAGGAAGCCAGAAATCTTGATTTCATTCTTGTTTTGTTTTGTTTGTCTTTTTTGATACAGGGTCTCACTGTGCAGCTTAGGCTGGCCTTGAGCTCCCTTTGTAGCCCAGGCTGGCCTCAACTCATAGAGATCCTCCTGACTCAGCCTCCTGAGTGCTAAGAATATAGCCTGTGCCCACCCTGCCCAGCCTTGATTTCACACCTGAAGCCTGTTTTGACTTTAGAGTGTTTGTTTTCTTTTACCCTCCACCCCATTTTTTCTTCTCTTGGTTTCCTGTCCTCGGTTTGATCTGTAAAAACTCTTCTGTTTCACGTTCTATAGTTGATCTGACTTGATCTTCATTAAACCTAATATGTTTGTTTTAGGGTAAACTGGTTCATGCTAACTTTGGCACTAAAGAGGACTTTGAGAATTTGAACACTTCTGTGAATGGATCTTTAGTGATTGTAAGAGCAGGGAAGATCCCTTTTGCAGAAAAGGTGAGTATGGGTTATTTTAAATACATTGTACTTCAGTTACATGACATTTTCTTAAGTTACAAATGTTTCAGTTACAGGTATGTCGTATTAAAAAGAAAAAAAAGAAAAACTAAAAGCCAAATATAGGGCTGGGGATTTAGCTCAGCAGCACAGTGCCTGCCTGGCAAGCACAAGGTCCTGAGTTTGATTCCTGGTACCAGAAAAAAGTTAAATCTATGTAGTGATTTGAGAGTGGAAAACATCAAAAGACAGTGGTTGTTTTAGACGCGTTTTCATTATTTCTATTTTCCAGACTGTTCTTAATGAGTTAGTTTTATGAAGATTTTTTCCCATGAGGGTGCGATTGGAAATACTGGGAAATCATTCTGGTCCTTTAACATAAAGTCTAGTATGTGTTATTCACGTTTTGTATAATCAGATCTTTATTTTCTGAGCTTTTTGTGTTTTTCTGTAGGTTTCAAATGCTGAAAGCTTAAATGCACTTGGTGTCTTGATATACCTGGACCAAGCTAAGTTTCCCATCGTCAGGGCAGACACTCCAATCTTTGGTCACGTAAGTTCTTTTTGAGTTCTACTTGTTACTGGATTCCATCCACCTTAGTAGAAATAGAACTGCACCTTCCTTTAATACTCTTCTGGGAGAGTTTCAGCAGAAAGCAAGATTTTGATTATGCTGACTGTGAGATCTTAGTGGTAGTAGTTCTTCATCAGCAGTACCTTGAACTGACAATTAGTCAATATACCTCTTGATAAAAGTACTTCATCACCCAGGTGTGCTGGTGCACTCAGGAGGCTAAGGCTGGGTAGCTGTGAGTTCAAGACCAGCTTGTGCTACATACGTAGTGATTTCAAGGCCAGCCTGAACTACATAGCGAGACCCTGCCCCCCCCAAAAACAAAACAAAATTTAAAAAGTACCTCATCAGTAGTGCCATCAATTGAGAATTTGGCAAGTCGTACATAAAAGTGAGTCACATTGTAGTCACAGACTTTGAGACTTTAGGCTGCTAATGTAGTGTAGGCGCTGGCCTCATATCAAGTCTGAGGCTTCTAGGAAACTTCCTGAGGAAGTGCTGGCAGAACTAGTTACTCTCTTGTTTTTCTAGGCTCATCTGGGAACAGGCGACCCTTACACACCCGGTTTCCCTTCTTTCAATCATACCCAGTTTCCACCGTCTCAGTCCTCTGGATTGCCTGCCATTCCAGTCCAAACCATCTCCAGACAGGGTGCAGAAAAGCTGTTTGAGTAAGTTCTTAATTGAAAGCTGTCTTGCAGGGTGAGGCTTGTGATGCGGGAAGAATGAAGTTTCAGTTGATTTGATCAAGGATTAAACATTTGTTTGTAATTTTACACTTGTGGGAATTTGAAGGTGATTAACTATTAATATGGATAAAAATGAAGACTTTTTCATTCATAGAGTGGTCTTGCTAATAGATACTGCACTTGGGAACTCAAGAGTCCTTGTCCACCTCACCCCAGTGGATCGCTTCTGGAATTTGAAATGTGGTTTTTCTGGGTTAGTTCTTACTTGAGTAGTCTCTGATGGAGCACTTTGTCGCCTATGGCCACACACTGAGTTACTGGAGAAAATGTGTTAGAATTGATGTTGAGTTATTCTCTGTAATGTCCATTAGTGCTGGATTATTTGTTTTTTAACAGCATACAATGATTTTCATCTCCTTGTTACAGACTGTATGTCCTCAGTTCTCAGGAGTTTTTTTACTGTGACAATTGGTTCTCTTGGGTATTCTCCTTGGAGTAGTAATACCTCTCTTTAAAAATAGAAACTAAAGCCAGAGTGTCACACGCCTATAATCCTAGCTCTCTGAACTATTTAGTGAGACCCTGTCTCAAAAAACAAACAAAAGAACCTAAAACTAAGAAAAAACCACCACCACAATGGAAACAACAAAAAGTAGAACTAGCCAGGTATAGAGGTGCCTGCCTGTGATACCAGCACTTGAGAGGCTGAGGCAGGAAGATTACACAAGTTTGAGGCCAACCTGGACCATGTAGTGAGACACTGCCTCAATAAACAACCACCATAGACCAATAAAAAACAAAACAAAACAAGATTCATCAAAAAATAAAACTAGAACCTAATGGGGCATAGTGGCACATGCCTGTGGCCCCAGGTCCTTGGGATGGTCACTGCAGACCACACGTTCCAGACCAGCTTGCCCAGCAGAGCAATACCCTCATCTCAAAAAAAGGCAGTCTAATAGATGTACATGAATCCATTTTTTCCTGGTACTGGAGATTGAACCTAAGGCCTTATTAGGACTGAGCCATATCTTTATCCCAGTTTTTTTTTTCTTTTTTTTTTTGTTTTGTTTTGTTTTGTTCTGGTACCAGGAATTAAACTCACAACCTTGTGCTTGCCAGGCAGGTGCTATGCCACTGAGCTAAATCCCCAGCCCTTTTTTTTTTTTCTTTTTAGATGTGGTCTCACTATGTAGTTCAAGCTGGCCTTGAGCTCACTATGTAGCCCAGGCTGGCCTTGAACTCATGGCGATCCTCCTGCCTCAGCTTCCCAAGTGCTGGGATTACATGCATGCACCACCATGCCCAGCTTAATATTTGAGGTAGTCTCACTAAATTACATACACTGGGCTCAAACTTGCGATTCTCCTGCCTCCACCTTTCAGGGTGTTGGAATTATAGGTGTGTGTCACCATGGTTGGCACATTTTTATCTTGATGTGGAATATTTCCCATGTGGTATCATCACAGGCTGGATATCTATTTTCAGACCCTTATTAAAGCATCTGGGTGACACAGAACAAGTTACTCTCACTTCCAAATCGGTTTCATCTACTTAGTTGCATTGATAGGTAAAAAGATCTGAGTTTCTAGAGTGGTTGGCCAAAAATGAAGAGCATCTACGTGTAAGAGCTTTGTAAATCCCATGTGACTGTTCATGCTAAGAGCGTTTGTACTAGGTGAGTCTCACTGACTCATTCTACCTTATTTTCCCCAACCTGTGAAGCCAGTTCCTTCTTACACAGTAAGGAGCAATAATGTTTTGTCTTACGTTTATGCTAGTTAGATCGCTGGAGCACTAATTGTTTGGGTAACGTGAGGAATCAGTTGGGAAGATTCACCAGCAGCACCAGAATGTTCTTTGTAACTGAAAAGAGTGTAAAGGGAAAAAGGTTGGGCAGCATGAAAATATATTAACGGATTTTTATGGGACGTCCCCCGGAGTCCATCTTGGTATACATTTCTGATGTAAACTGTAACTTTGTCTCTGGCAGAAGAGCATATATTAGATGTGGATAGGTAGAAACTTTTTTAAACTTTGATTAAACTAGAAAGTAACTCATGACTTTCAGAGGATGGCCTTCAGATTAGAGCAAGGTGTGAGTGGTCAGCAGGGACTGAATTATCCGTGTTCTCTTTGTGCCCTTTTAGTCTGAACCTCACTTGAGCCAAAAAATGCAACTGACTTTGTAAACCTGGGGAAGTAACTAACTCAGAGCTCTGGTGCCTGTTCTCTCCTTGCAGAAATATGGAAGGAGAGTGTCCCACCAGTTGGAGAACAGACTCTTCCTGTAAGCTTCACTCCAACCAGAACAGGAATGTGAAGCTCACTGTGAACAATGAGCTGAAAGAGATAAGAATCCTTAACATCTTTGGAGTTATTAAAGGTGTTGAAGAGCCAGGTAAAGCCTTTGTTTTGTGTTTCCCCGCGTAATATCTTTCAAAAAAATAAAAACTGGCTTAGGTCTGTGAAGTGCTAAATCTTATCTCTTCTAAGATAAGCTACTTAGATAGTCAGCTTTATTGGGACATAACAAGGCCCTAGCAAGTTGGTTTGTTAGAAACTACTACTAGAAAATCTGTGTTTAGTTATTGACAAGACCAAAGGTGAGAACATTTTTCTTAAGGGGCAGAGGAACATTTTGAGCGGGGAGGCTGGTACCAGGAATCAAACTCTGGACCTAGAGCTTGCCAGGCCAGCGCTTGTGCTGCTGAGCTATATCCCTGGCCCCAAGATGAACATTTTATGGGGACAGTGTCTATTACAACTGTTTGGCCCATGTAGCACAAAACAGGCATAGCCACTATGTAAAAATAGCACACAGGCTAGTTTGCCGATGCCTGCAACTATTTAAATGCAATCAAATAGTCACCTCATTTAGAAAGGAAAACCCTTGTACTTAACTAGTTAACTACTAAACGATTAATCAGCCCAGATACACAGTCACTGAATAAACGTAAATGGTAAAAAAGAGAAAGTAGTGACAGTAATAAGAGAAAAAAATAATATTGTCCTGTGATTTTTTTTTTTTTTAATTCCTGGCATCCTAAGTCAGATCTAAAGTTAGGCTTTTTCATCCGTTTTATATATATGTATATATACACACATACATATACACATACACACGCACACATATATATATATACACACACCCACACACACACACACATATACATATATATATATATATATATATATATATATATATGATACTTTTCCTTTTTGGGGGTTTTTTGAGACAGGATCTCACTATATAATCCAGGCTACCCTTGAACTCACTATGTAGCCCATGGCTACTCCTGCCTCAGCCTCCTGAGTGCTGGGAATGCAGGCATGCGCCACCATGCCTAATGATACTTTTCTATTGTGCTTATTCTATCTAGACTTTGGTGTTACAGAACAGTTTCAAAGTTGATTCATAAAATTTATTTTGTTTTCTTTTAAGATCGCTATGTTGTAGTGGGGGCCCAGAGGGATTCTTGGGGTCCTGGAGCTGCGAAGGCCAGTGTGGGAACTGCTCTTCTGTTGGAACTTGCCCGGACATTTTCAGATATGGTCTTAAATGGTAGAGTACAAACTTTCAGACTTTTGAATAGTACATCTTAAAATTCTCTTATACTAGACCCTCAGTTCTTTTTTTAGACCACACCTTTATTTTTATTTATTTTAAATATTAAAATTTCTTATTAATACTGTGCATGTTTACAGTATGTAATGAGTACCTTCATTGTGGGGAGTTGGTGTGTGTTTATATCTTAATTATTTTTACTTCTCCTCTTGATATCTTGGACCACATTTTTTAAAAAAAAAAAAAACAAACATGGTCTCACTATGTACTTCAGGCTAGCTTTGAACTCACTATGTAGTCCAGGCTGACCTCAAACTCACAGTGATCCTCCTGCCTCAGCCTCCTGAGAGCTGGGATTATAGGTATGCACCACCACACTCGGCACATTTTTTTTAATTAAGTTTATTGGTACATTTTAGGTATGCATAATGATCACATTTATCATAGGGAATTTATCCCTGTACATAATGTATCTTGATTCTTTTTTCCCCCTTCCTTTACCCTCCCTCCAACCCCTCTTCCCCCTCCTTATTTACAAAAGCTTGTTTCCATTTTTTCCCTTCTTTTTGCATTTTTTTCTTTTTTCTTCCTTACCCCCTTATAGTTCCCCTTCCCATTTGAACATTTTCTTCCTATTTCACAATATCTGCCAGGCATGGTGTCGAATGCCTGTAATCCCAGCACCTGGGAGGATCATTTCGAGGTTTTTGTTTTTTTGTTTTTTTTTTTTTGTCTTTCTGAGACAGGGTCTCACTATGCAGTTCAGGCTGGCCTTGAGCTCACTTTGTAGCCCCGGCTGGTCTCGAACTCGCAATGATCTTCCTGCCTCAGCCTCCTGAATACTGGGATTACAGGCATACACCACCATGCTCAGTTTGTCCTGTTACTTAAATTTGTGAATTTTTATTTGATTTGATAAAAGTAATCCCATTTTTTAAGTGACCTGCATCTCAGCCAAGTGCTCTCAAAGAAGACAAGCATTATGCTTTTGCTGTAATTTCAAGTATCTCTTGGTCTGGAGGTTAAGGCCCCCAAACAATGGAGTAGTAGAGGAGCGACTCCCAGTACGCCAGTGCCTTACAGATGATCTCTGAGCTTCTCTGTAGATTACTTTAAAATTTGATTCCAGTTCCTTTAGTGTTCTTTTACCTGGAGTCTCAAAAGGAAAAGATCTACTTTTGAAATCTGTCATCTTGAATCAGAAGCTCCGGGTTCAGTTAGCAGTTACCTGCCTGAAACCTTTCCCGAGGTAAAGCTGACTGTTTTGTTTGGGTTCAGGTGGATTTAAACCCTGCAGAAGCATCATCTTTGTCAGCTGGAGCGCTGGAGACTTTGGAGCCGTTGGTGCCACTGAATGGCTAGAGGTATTTGCCCCAGCCATACTGCGGGGTCCCTGAACTCTACTGGCTTAAGCTGACCTCCAGAAACTACGCTACGAGGGCCCTATCAGGGCTCGTTACCCCACTACTGTCTGTGCGGGAAGTCTCAGCAGGAGCCAGATTTCAAGATGAATCCCTAATATCAGCTACCATCTGTGTTGAATGCCTATGAATAAATACATGTTACTAGTATTTTATTCTTAGGTGCAGTACTGGGGATTGAACCCAGGGCTTTTGCAGTAAGCTACATTTTCAGCCATCCTGCGCCCTTTAAAAAAGCTGTATTTAGTTTTGGTTTTTTAGGCCAAGTCTTGTTGTGTAGTCCAGGCTGACCTTGACCTTGACCTTGAACTCAGCATCTTGAGTGCTAGGTTTATAGGTGTGCGCCGCCAGCCTGGCCTCTTTTTAAATTTTGAGGAAGGGTCTCACAAGTTGTCTAGTTTGGACTCAAATTTGTGATTTCCCGCCTAGCATCCCATAGTGCTGGGATCACATTTGCCACCATGCCCAGTTCAGAATACATCTTACTACATTATGTTAATATGTAAATTAATGTCTTCTCTTCCAGGGATACCTTACCTCTCTGCATTTAAAGGTTGTCACTTACATTAATTTGGATAAAGCTGTCCTTGGTAAGTCTCTCCTTTACTCGCGGTTTGTGAATGCAGGTAAACTATTTAGGAAACAGCAGAAGGAAACCTTCTAAAGCAGAACCTTGTCATTTTCACAGATCACATGGGCCGTAACTAGATGTAAATAATCCGTCAAGTTACAGGGCAGGCTCAGATGGTCTCGCTGAGCAGCGGTTCTCAATGTTCTCAGATCAGTAGTGTCAGTACTGTTAGGAATGGAAATCTGAGGTCACAGCCCACGTCTTCTGAGTCAGTAACAAGAGTGTGGGCCCAGAAAACGTTAAAGCATAGAGCGTGGTCCTCTGGGGACAGTACATGTCTTCCTGGTTTGTGCGCACTGATAGAAATACTAGGCAGCAAACTTTGAAAGGAATTTGAATGTCATTTAAATGAGAAGATAAACGGAGAATAGTGAAATGTGGGCATTGGGAAGAAAAAGGAAGGAGTTGCAATTAAACTAAATCTTCCAGAGACTAGTCATTACTCACCAACCTGTGGAGTAGAATTGTTAATTTTGCTTTAAATGTAAAGCTACTCCAAAAATGTTGAAAAAAATTACACTATAATACGCAAATTCAAGGGATAGGCACTCTGCTGGGCATGGTGGTGCACGCCTGTAATGCCAGCACTTGGAAGGTTGAGGTGAGAAGATCACTATGAGTTCTAGGCCAACCTAGGCTGCATAGTGAATTTAGGCCAGCCTAAACTACATAGTGAGACCCTGTCTCAAAAAACCACAAACACAAAAGAAAAGAAAAGGAGTAAGAGCCTGGAGTCAAGTTAGAATTATATAGTTGATAATGATAAAAAAAGTGGCTCCTAAATTACTTTTTTCGTTGTCTTTTTGAGACAGGGTCTCACTATGTAGTTCAGGCTGGCCTTGAAGACACATACAGGCCAGGCTGGTCTTGAACTCCAGTGACCCTCCTGCCTCATCTTCCCAAGTGCTGTGATCATAGGCATGCACCACCATGCCTGGCTTCTTAAATTATTTTTTGTCTACTTTATATACTATTTGTACAGGGCCACAGATCTAGGTTATGTTAAAGACAGGGTCCTACTATGTAGTATGTAGTGCTGCATGCCTGTGTAGTATGTAGTGCTATGAGTGCTGCATGTAGTATGTGTACCACCACACCTGGCACTAGATGTTGTAGTTGTAATAATATCAATGTGAAAATTGCTTGACTGGAAAAGAGGCAATGTTAAAATAATGTCTTTGCAGGTACTACAAACTTCAAGGTTACTGGCAGCCCAATGTTGTATAAACTTATTGAAAAAACGATGCAGGAGGTGAGTGTGTGTACCCCTAACTACAAAAATGTAATTGAATGCTTTTGGCAAATTTGCATGGGACAAAAATCATTAAACTATGATGACTAATCGGTAGTGGATTTAGAATACGCTTTGCGGCAGCCCTGTTTAAGTGATGCTCTTGGCTTACCAGTCCCTCGCCTGTGGAGCTGTGTCAGGTGAGGGAGGTGGTAGAGGCAGGGCTCAGTACCGCAGAAGGCACAGTCACCTAGGAACAGTACCAGCACGGGAGGCCTGAGCTACCCTGTAGGTACCCACGAGTCTTCAGGAAGGGTTAAGTGGACCTCGAATAAGGCAGGTGAAATATTCATTGAGTAGAGACAAACACATGAATGACAATAGTTTTGCACAAGGGAGGGATATGTGAAAAAGAATTTTTGCCTCAATAAGGGGCTGTTGGAGTAGTAAAGTGGAAACAGAAAAGGTGAGGTACTAGATGAGGGCCTTACTTTCCCAGTACTCTAGAGATCCCTACTGGGTCTCGGCCAAGGTGTTTGCTGGGTAGGCTGGCAGCACAAAATATGCTACGTGGACACAGGATTATCATGGAGGCTGGAGAGGGTTTTTTGTTCTCTTTTTTTTTTTCTGGTCTTTGAGATAGAGTCTCGCTGTGTAGTCCAGGCTGTCCTTGAGCTCACTTTGTAGGCCAGGCTGATCTCAAACTCATAGCGATCCTCCTGCCTCAGCCTCTTGAGTGCATAGCTTTTAAGATTATGGTGCAATCCCTTTTAAAATGTCAATTAAGAAGAACGTTACTTTTTTTTTAAGTGTTGACAGTGCAAATCTAGGAAGAATAACCTAAGAAGTTTGAGATTGTTTCAACTGTCTGAAGTATTTTTTTTTTTTTGAAGAGGATATAATGTAGTATTTTTATGACTATTTAGAGATGTTAGTGCCTAGCCTGAATAAGTTCAGAAAAGTTATTTGTTATAACTTTACTTCTTATTTTATAGGTGAAGCATCCACTTACTGGAATGTCTCTGTATAAGGATAGCAACTGGGTCAGCAAAGTGTAAGTTGAGGGAAGTGAGCAAGCCAGTAGAAAAGCAGAATCGCCCAGCAGCTCCTACCACACTGGGGAGGAAGCCAACCCTCGCCTTGCAGTGAGCTGAGCTGTAACTGGAGATGCGCCTGGAGAACGTACTGGGGTCAGGGAGGGCTGCGTGTAGCACAGTCTGTTCAGAAAGCGGTCTGAAGACGTATTCTTGCTCTCCTTGCAGAGAGAAACTTTCTCTGGACAATGCTGCTTTCCCCTTCCTTGCACATTCTGGAATTCCAGCAGTTTCCTTCTGTTTTTGTGAGGTAAGTCCGAGGAACTCTGCAGGGTTACACATTCAGTCTTCTTTCTGTAACTGAGCCCAGGTTTCCTGGGGTGCTTCAGTGGTTTGACGGAGTCATACACATGAAATTGTTGGATGTTCCCTTATTATCAGTCTTAACATAAATTTATCATCTCTGCTTAACTAGCGTTTCAGTTTGTTACTAAACTTCCCTGGAGTATGCTGAGTTTTCAAAATTAAGTAGCCAGGGCTGGGGATTTAGCTCAGCGGCAAAAGCGCCTGCCTGGCAAGCGCAAGGTCGTGAGTTCGGTTCCCGGTACCGGAGAAAAAACCAAAAAAAAAAAAAAAAAGACAGTGTCAAAATTAAGTAGCCAGTAGCTACCTAGTAAGTAGTGCAGTTCACGGTATTTCCATCAAACAGAAAATTTTACTTGGACAACACTTTTAGATACCTATTGAAGTCCTAGATGTTTTGTCCCGAAATGTTAGTGTTTTAAGCAGATTTATAGGTAAAAGCCCAGAAATCAGGTGCAAGATTGTTGACAGAACTTAACTGACCATGTTGCAGAAAATGCCATTGGGAGGGCACAAGAGCCGGGGAGCAGGTACCGAAGGCCAGCTGGGGAGCGAGGCTGAAGCCCTTGTGCTCCGGCACTAGCACTGGAAATCCAGGCCTGCAGCAGGGCTTCTGAGGGTGAGGGTTGGGCGTGGCTCACTGCAGAGGCCCTGGGTTCAGTCTTCAGTGCTCCCGACAGGAAAGAAAGAACTGGGAGCAGGGGCTATGGCTGAAGGAATTTATGGATGATTTCTCTTGATTGTCACGTTTTTTTTAAAAACATCAAACGAGGGGCTGGGGATTTAGCTCAGCGGCAAAGTGCCTGCCTGGCAAGCGCAAGGTCGTGAGTTTGGTTCCCGGTACCAGAGAAAAACCAAAAAAAAAAATAAAAATAAAAACATCAAACGTGCCAGGCATGGTGGTGCACACCTGTAATCCCAGCACTTGGGAGGCTGAGGCAGGGGGATCGTTGTGAGTTCGAGACCAGCCTGGGCTACAAAGTGAGCTCACGGCCGGCCTAAACTGCAGAGCGAGACCCTGTCTCAAAAAGACAAAAAAATAAAATAAATGTGATCTGAGATGAGAAATTCCTGCAGTGCTGGTGAAGGGGTGGAGCCATAGACGATGTACAGTCTGAGTGAGGTTGAACCACAGGATTATCGGTGACACTGCCCCCGAGGACACTGTTGTGGAAGAGTTAGCATTAAGAGGTAGATAATGACGCTGTCTAATGTGCCAAGCATGGTGGCGCATGCCTGCGATCCGAGCACTCAGGCAGGAGCTTCCTACAAATTCGAGGCCAGCCTGCACTACAAAGTGAGACCCTGTCCCAAAAAACAAAAACCACAAAAAATTAGAACAGTAAATGCCTAACTCTGTGCCTAAAGAAGCACTGATTATTTTGTTACGAATGTAATGTGCGTGAGTGGACCAAGTGTCACATGAGGAAGAAGGCAGGTTTTAGTCTTAAGAGTAATACTTTGGGCTGGGTGTGGTGGTGCATGCCTGTAATCCCTGCACTACAAAAACGAGACTCTGTCTCAAAACAAACACGAAAAAGAATAATACTCTATATTGATGATTCTGCTTTTGAGGCAAAGTCTTGCTGTGTAGCCCAGGCTGGCCTTGAACTCACAGCAATCTTCCAGCCTCGGCCTCCTGAGTGCTGGGACTACACGTGTGTGGCACCACACCCAGCAAGAGTAATACCTTATACCTTATATTGAAATGACCTTTCATGTCCCCGTTAATATGGGCCAGACATCCTAAAAAGAAAAGAAAGGGTACAGCTTCAGGGAGTTTGCCCAGAAATGTGTTCAGGGAATGCAGAGATGCTAGAACATGGGTTCTATGGAACCCGGAGGACAATAGTCATTCTAGGAGCAGATCAGATTCAGAGGCAGTAGCCACAGATAAGAGATGCAGGTGGGGTGGGAATACATTAGACACAGGAGAGAATTGCAGTAACTGTTAACTTTGGTAAAGCCAGAATGCCCGGCTCCTACCCTTCTGACGCACAGAATACAGTGGCTTCCTTTACTTCCAGGACACCGACTATCCCTTCCTGAGTACCGCTATGGATTCCTACGACGTGCTGATGAGGGAGATTCCTCAGCTGAATAAATTGATGTATGCAGCAGCAGAGGTGGCTGGTCAGTTCCTGATTAAACTGACCCATGATTTTGAATTGAACCTCGACTACGAGATATATAGCAACAAAATGCTTTCATTTCTGAGAGAGCTGATGCAGTACAGGGCCGACATAAAGGTAAGCGCTAATTGCAATTAGGTTTTGTAAAAATTAATTTTAAAATGTATGGGCCTGGTGGCACATGTCTACATGTCTACAGTCCCAGCACTTAGGAAGCTGAACTACATGGTAAGACCTTTTCTCAAAAAAAAATTTAAATTTATTTTTAAGTGATACATTAAAAACTTTAAAATTGCACAGGCTTATGGGAAGTGCATGTGATGTTTTGATGCACGTGTTCACTGTGTAATATCTAAATCAGGGTACACCCATCTCAACCACCATTTCCTTGTGGTGAAAATAACAAAAATCTTGTAGCTTTTTGAGACATAGAGCATCGACCAGTCATGGTGGCATACACCTGTAATCCGAGCACTCGGGAGGCTGAGGCAGGAGGATCACTGTGCATTTGAGGCCAGCCTGAACTACATAGTGAGACCTGTCTCAAAAAAAAAAAAAGTAGTACATCTTCTTTACAGTCAATAGCAGACCAGGACTTATACATTCCACCTATGGGTAAGATCATGCAGTACTTGTCCTCCTGTGCCTGGCTTATTTCACTTAACAGAACGACCTCTAGTTCTGTCCACATTGTCATAATGACAGGATTTCAGCCTTTCATATGGCTGCATGGTAGTCCACTGTTACATGTTCACCCATGTGTTCCTCATCCACCATCTGATCTGGTGGACACCTAGTTTGTTTCCATTTTGAGGTGCTGAGAATAGTACTGTAATAAAGAGGAATGTAGGTGTCTCTTCCATATGCTAATTTCATTCCTTTGGATGTATAATCAGGAGTGGGATTTCTGGATCATATAGTAGTTTTATTTTTAAACTTTCTGAGGAACCTCCACACCATTCTCCATAATGGCTGTACTAAGTCACACTCCCATGAGATTAGGTTCTTATTTCTGGAGTACTAAGTGGTTTGAAGTATATTTCTAGGGAAGGATATGATTAGTAACCAAAAGCGCATTTTAAAGTTAACTGTAATTTTGCATAGAATTAATAACTCATGTGTAAAAGAAGTCACGTGACTGTGGGTTACAGGTCTAGGATAGACCATAATAGGTGTTTTCAGAATAGAAAGCTGTCTTGTTAACCTACATGTAGGTATGACCTGGACAGTCCGAACAGCTCCAATGTAAGTTTGGACTGTGTACCTTTATAATTTTATTTGGTGTTGTTGATCCTATGTGTCTGGTATTCAAATACTGAGTCAAATGAAGTTTAGTGAGTAGTTTTTAGCTTATTTTATGGCAGTAGGAGCTGATTTAACAGCTCTTAACTGAAGTAAATCACTAATAAACAAATCTTAACTATTATGCCTTTCTTGAAACACTTTTCACTGTTGAAAATGGGACTTAACAGATGGAAATAAGTTGAACTTGACTGACCGGAATGTTCAAAGTTTTTCCTTATAGGGAAGTTGAAAACAATATAGTGTAGGGGATGATACACTTTTTCTTAAGTTATGTTGGGTTTCTCAATGAAAACAGTTTTCTAATAATGCTAAGGATGGAGAATTGTACTGTCTGCTGGGTAAAGATGAGTATGTAATCATGGGTTTATGCAGCCTCTGGTACATATTTCTGAAATCTGGCTTTCTGAGTCTTGAGTTTATCTGTGAGTCATTTCCTTTTATTGGAACCTTCTCAGTTGCCACCTGTAAGGTAGAAAGGTCTAGGAATAACACACCTAGGAATGGGCCTTGTCACGCTGAACACAATGTCTTTCTATTCCAGGAGATGGGGCTGAGCCTGCAGTGGCTATATTCTGCTCGTGGGGACTTCTTCCGTGCTGCTTCCAGGCTGATGACGGATTTCCACAATGCTGAGAGAACAAACAGATTCATCATGAAGGAGCTGAATGATCGTATTATGAAAGTAAGTAAAGTCTGGAGCGGGGTGGGGGGGCTAAATTATGTACATTTTTAATTGGTTAATCTTACATTTCTAAAGAGTGGGGTAGCTCGAAGCCTGGAGTCCTTTGCCACTTTAGAATTGAGTGCAGATTTTAACACTTAGCAAGATCTAAAACGAACCTGTCTAATCTGGAAATAACGAGACATTGGATGGTATATTAATTTTGGGAAGGTTAAAAACCATTTTTTAGGGGATGTGGATGTAGCTCTGGTAGAATGAGTGCTCTCCACACACAAGGCTATGGCTTCAATTCACAGCACCAGAAGGAAAAAAAAAGAGAAAGAAGGAAAAAAAGAGAAAGAAGGGAGAAGAAAAGCATGCTGAGCATGGGTTATAACCAAAAGTAATCTCAGTATTGATTAAAGTTCACTTTAATAAGGCATCCACAGGTTGCTTTCAAATCTTAACCTGAGAAAAGCGGTAACTTGTTCCGCTTTGCAAATTCAGAAGCTTAACATTTGAAGTGGAGGGTGAGGGTCTGTTGCTCACGAGGCCCGTAGCACTGTGCATGCCATCTTGTCCTTCTCGTTTGCACAGGTGGAGTACTACCTCCTGTCACCCTACGTGTCCCCGAGGGAGTCTCCTTTCCGGCACATCTTCTGGGGCTCCGGCTCTCACACTCTGCAGGCTCTGCTGGAGAACTTGAAGCTGCGTAAGAAAAATAAGGCTGCTTTTAACGAAACGCTATTTCGGAACCAGTTGGCTCTGGCTACTTGGACCATTCAAGGCGTTGCAAATGCCCTCTCTGGTGACATTTGGGATATCGACAATGAGTTTTAAATGTCATAAGCATAACTAATTTAAGAACAACAGGGTATTCTTTCTAGACTTGTTTTGGTCATGCTAAATTTTCAGTAGGGCTATAAAACCTAATGTTACAGTTCTATCCAGTCATCTTGATATATTAGATGTCTTTAGGCAGAGCTTTTAATACCGGGTAGGTCCCTGCACTTCAAGTTAAAGTGAATAACCACTTTAAAATTTTTCCTTGATTGTCTCTAGAATTTAAGTGCTTTTTAATGTAACTGCCTCTTTGCATCCTTTGCTGAAAACGTGAGAACAGTTACGCGAACTATCGCTGTAAATCCCAAGGACATGGGCGGTGTCTTCTGAGATGGGGAGAAGATATTTTGTCCTGGAGGTCAGAGTGGTAGCTCAGTGTGATCATCACATTTGATGCTGGCAGGAGCTGCCAGGTTGCAAGCCTCCTCCAGGCGAAACACATGCTCTCCCGGAAGGACCCGGCTGTCTCCGCACCCTGCAGTGAGACAGTCAGCCTGCAGAGAGAGGCCTGAGATAGAGGTCCTTCCACTGGTCAAATGAGGTTCAACTGTTGATTGCAGGAGAAAGGCCTTAATGTATGAACTTCGTGTTATTAGAAGTGGAGATCAGACACCAAAGACTTGCAGTGTACTCTTTTCCTGTGACCTGCTTCGTAGCCTTTGTGTAGTTCTTTGTTGTTTTTTCTTTTTCCCCCAAAGTTCTGAAAGAGAACCAGTCTTAGGCATCTAATTTTAGACTCAGTTTGTCAGACTTTAAAGAACACATTGCCAAATTTTGGCCAAAGTGTTAATCTTTCAGGAAAGCTTTCTATCATTTTGGCACTGAGATATTTATTGTTTATTTATCAGTGACAGAGTTCACTATAAATGTTTTTTTTATAGAAGATAATTATCGGAAGCAGTGCCTTCCATAATTATGACAGTTATACTGTCGTTTTTTTTTTTAATAAAAGCAGCATCTGCTAATAAAACCCAACAGATACTGGAAGTTTTGCACTTATGGTCAAACTTGAGGGTCTTAGAAAACAGCCGCAAGCCATATAAAATTGGAACACTAAGCATTGGGAAAAAAAACTAAATTTAATTAGGGTTGCTAATCAAGATGAATTTCTGTCTACCTGGCCAGATAAAATTGATAACTCTCTTAAATGCAATGAATTCTGACCACATTATAAATGAGTATCACTTAAAGGCTGTGGTAGTACTCATATATACAAAATTTTACAGCTCAGTTTGTCTGTGGTATAACTGAAATTCCAATTTTGCAAAATTTCCAGTACCTTTGTCACAAACCTACTGACATTATCAGGAGCAGTGTCTTCCATAATGTATAAAGAACAAGGTAGTTTTTGCCTACCACAGTGTCTGTATCGGAGACAGTGCTCTCCATATGTTACACTAAGGGTGTACGTAATTATCGGGAACAGTGTTTCCCATAATTTTCTTCACGCAATGACATCTTCAAAGCTGAAGATCGTTAGTATCTAACATGTATCCCCAGCTCCCTGTAACTCTCCTTTTACTTTTAGTTGCAGAAACATTTTGTGGTCATTAAGCATTTGGTGGATAAATTCAACTGCTATAAAGTAAACTGCTACTTCCTTCAAGATCCTTTTTTTTTTTTTAAAGCTTAACATGGGTGTTTTGTTACCTTTTGTGGTTTCTCCACGTCTTCTGCCTAGTGGGATAGTAGCATACATTTGTTATGTTTGCTGTTGGTAAATGAATTTAACTGTCCCCTCATTTGCATGTTACCTGTAAACTTAGTTCAGGAAGTTTGAATCTAGGGTTGAGCTTTTGGCTTAAAGCAAGGGAACTTGTGTAGGTTTGGGAGGGTGGGGGGTGCGGGCTGGGGAGGCGAGGCTTGCAGGAGGCTCTTTGATCGTGCCTGGCTCCCGGTTCTCGTGGGTGGAATCATGTAGATAAGCACAAGTATGGAGGCTACACGAGTAAAGGCTTATTTTCTACTCCACCACCGCAGTGAGCCTGATCACCACTGTCTGTGTAGGGCAGACCTAAACTGCCACCTAAATGAAAAGTTGGTATGTTCTTAAATTTGTGTCACTCACCTGAGTTACAGTAGACCTCGATTACTTTGCAGCCCCACTGAGCTGCGTCGCTGTTCAGTCTGTAATCTTCACGGTGTTCTGCACTGGGCCGGTGTTCAGTGTTGCTAAATGAGAAAAAGCTCAGCGACCTTCAGGGCACAGTGTGAATCAAGGTCATATACTTGACTGCAGGACGTCTCTGAGGAACCAACCCTCTTCTGTGATTAGGGCTTACATCCAGTGGAGCAGGTCGGTCAGTTGTAAGAGGCTTCCTGTTCCTGAAGGAGATTTGCGTCTGGCTGGTGACAGTTTGCTGGTCCCTAGAGATTCCTTTTCCCGGTTAAGAGCATGTGGTTGGAAGCTGAGGGATGAATTGTGACCTCTGTCCTGATGGACTGCGCTAGCACTCACGTGGCCTTGCTGTTTGCTCTGTGAGTGCTCTGGACATTGTAAACTCGCCAACCTCCTGTAAATAAGAGCTGTGCCTGGCTAATGTCCTCAGCCTGTATGTGTGGCAGTATGGCGATTCCCTGTCTGATTTAATAAAATGTTTGAATACTCAGTTGTTGTTGTTTAAAGAACAGCGCGTCTGTCAGTTACGACCCTCTGCAGACATGTAACCCAAGTCCACCCCGTTAAACTGGTCTTCAGTCCATCGCAGTAACAAAACTCCAGTCTCATTGCCAAGGAATTCTTGGTTCCTCTGTCAGTCCCCACCCTATTCTTATTCCCTTAATTTGCTGCCTCCGACACCCTTGGTACAGGTTTTCTTTGAGACAGGGTCTCACTATGCAGTTTAGGCTGGCCTTGAACTCACTATGTAGCCCAGGCTGGCCGCAAACTTGAAGTGATCAGGATTGTCAGTGTAGCCTCAAACTCAAGACAATCCTGCTTCAACCTCCTGAGTGGTGGGATTCTAGGCATGCTCCACCATGACGGCAGGAACTTGCCTTTCATTAGGGACAAGCCCACTGCAGAAGTTATAATTGTATCGTTGCTGATGGTGAGCGCTTGGCCTGCTGTCCAAGCCACTTTCCTGAACTGGTCCCGGTTGCCTTGCCTTCTGGAAGTGGGATTTCCTTGTTCTAAACCGCAGACCTGTCTTGGTCTCTGCTCGCAGCTTGTGGGTCCTCCTCGACTCTGACCTTGATAAACCAACTCCTTGGAGCTAATGGGATTTGCAGGACACCTAAGGGGACCAAGGGAGCAATGCTGAGTTCTTGGGTAAGGAAGAGAGGTGATGAAATGGATGGTGGAGGGAGCTTAATGGGGAATTAAGTGTGGGCAGAGACTGAAGTCAGCAAGGTCATTGAGAGAACACTTGCAGTAATAACACCATGCAAGGGTGTAGATGTCCTAGCATTATCTTGTCTAATCCCTCAAACCTCCGAGCATGGGGAGCTTGTCTAAAACAGGCCTGCTGGAAGGGGACCAAGAGATGGAGGGAAGGTGGGAGGCAGGAGAAAAGAACTGAGATGTGTTATGTGCATGTGCCAACCCCCCACCAGGAATGTGATCATTAAGTCCTGCAAGCATGGACTGATAAAAACAAAAATGAAGGAATCAGCCTGCTGATGAAAGGATGTGTTCTGTCCGACCTGGAAATAAATGCATAGTTGGCCTCTGGCATTTCAAAGGTGCTTGATCAGAATTTGAATGAGAAAGCCAAGCCAGGACTTAGACAGGTACATTCAGGTGGACTAAAGTGGTGCTGAGAGGAAGCAAGGCAGGAAGCTGGGAGTCCAGGAGCTGGACGGGCCTCACAGAGTGTGGAGGGGGATGGGCCAAAGAGGGTCCAGGAACCTGAGCCTGTGAGTGTGGTCAGTTATCCTGGAGCTGCCGAAGCAGGAGGATCACAAGTTTGAGGCCAACCTGGGCTACATAGTGAGACCGGTTTCAAGAAAACAAAAGAACCTGAATTAAATTTCTGGGCAAGTGAGTCAGAGAAGTAGGGGAAAGGGGGCAGGATTTGCAATGGGGTTCTGTTGTCACCTCCTGGGGCCAGTGTGACTGAGGGCAGACGTCTGGTGGTCCGCTGGACACCAGCACCCAGGCCAGCCCCGTGCAGGGAGCTGTGTGCAGGAGGCCGGATGAACTCATGTCAGGGGTGGGGGGCACAGAAGGGAGCTTTCGTAGTGGAGGGAGAGGCGGCCAGAACGGCATCAGGCACGGGCTTGCTTGGGAGGAGGAAGCGGAACACAGCCAAGGACGTGCAGCGCCTACACTCCAGGTGAGGAGAGCTGAGCAAAGGCCAGAGGAGCGGCAGAAGGGTACGAGAGTGAGAAAACACTTCGCTGATTGAAGGTAAGCCTGACCACTACACAAGTCTACACTTGGGACAGGGGTTCCAGGTAAAGCGAGGTTTCAGGCAGCTACAGTAAAGGATAAAAGACCCCAGCCTTTATTTATATTTTCCTTTTAAAATTTTTATTTATTATTTTATTTTATTTTATTTATTTTTGAGGCAGGGTCTCACCAAATTACCCAGGCTGGACTCAAAACTTTCGATCCCCCTGCCTGAGCGTCCCAGAGAGCTGGAATCACAAGTGCGCGGCACCACGCCCGGCTGTCGGTCTTTAATACGATCAGTCCTGAGTCCCCACTGGACACTCCTGATGAGTAGATCGAGCCCCGTCTCACATGATCGTTCTGACACTGCCAGAGCACAACACAAACCCTTAGTCCACACGCATCCATTAACCGGTTACCAACCCTAACTCTAGGTGTCCGCCAGGGGGCAGCAGAACCCAGGGCTCGCCGGTGCTTCCTTCGGGAACAAACACCCCACACTGACCTGAGGGTTTCATCATCCCTTGACTCATCCGGCTCTGACTCTAGCTCCAGGGGGGCAGGTGTGTGGGCGCAGCTGGCAGCGGCGGTGCCTCCCAGTGCCCTAGTAAGGTTTCGAAAACTGAACTGCTTGGGGGCAGTGCTCTCTGGCCTGGGTGCCGAGGTGGGGGCCCGGTCTGGTCTTGCTCCTGGGGGTCAAGGCCTGGGGTAGCAGATCCCCTCACGCCTCAAGATTCCTTTGGAGTCCTCCCTCCACCTTCACTAAGAAGCTGATGGCCTCTTCCGGACTCTGAAACCCTTTGCCTTTGTTCAGTAAGAGTGGCAGCCCAGACCCCGGCCCTTACTCCGCACCTCCGCTCTCTCGGGCTTCAGTTCGGTCATCTTTCGGGCCCCCAGAGGATGCTGGGGAACAAAGACCAAAATATCCGGCCCCTCCCCCTGCCTGCCCAAGTTTATATGTTCGCCAGGGCCCCGCACTTCCGGTTGCCCCTTGGCACCCGTTGATGAGCTTCTAGAGCCCTGGACACTGAGCCCCGCCCCAGTGACTCCAGTTTAATGGCGCTAGGTGGGGCACAGTGGTTTTTAAAGCTTTCCTTGTGATTATATGCAGCAGCATTGAGAACTTCCGCGTCCAAGGTCTTGCTACCCAAGATGCGGTTGTGGGCCAGCACCTGAGAGAGAGTGACAGTGGTGCTGGAGCTCGGCATCCCCTCGCAGCCTGCGGAACCGGAACCTGCATTTCAGCCAGGTCCCCGGATGCGGAAGTCGTGCGGGTCTGCACAGTGCTCCTCCTCCTGGCTCCCTGGTATGGTTCCCCATAGGCACAAGGTGTTTTCAAGTTGTAGGGGTGACTTTCTGAATGTTTACGCTGTGATAGGTGGAAAGTAGATATTACATGAAGACACAACATCCACTGAAACAAAAACGCCACAGAAGCAATACCTTTACAGCCCATAATGCGCTCTCATTAATTCCACAGGTATTTTTCTGTTTTTGTTTTTCTTTGAGACAGGGTCTTGCTATGTAGCCCAAGCTGACCTCAAACTCACAGAAATCCTCATGTCTTAACCTCCGAAGTGCTGGGATTACAGGCTTGTTCTACCATGCCCTGCTCCATAAATATTTTTGGCCCTCGCTTTGTGCTACGCAATTTTCCACTTGCCTGTGCCTAGCCAAAATCTATGACATTGTGGAGTTTATGTGTGTTGGTTGTGTGTGTGTGTGTGTGTCAGAAAGTTCAAACCATAGATATGAAAGGCATGCTGGAAGATTAATACAAAACTTATAAAGATTATATTTTGCTGGGTGTAGTGGCACATGATTGTAATCCCAGTACTCAGGAGGCTGATGCAGGAGATCACAAGTTGGAGGCCAGCCTGGGTTACAGAGTGGCTTCAAGGCCAGCCTGAACTACATAGTGAGACCCTGTCTCAACAAACAAACAAAAAATAAAAGTTATGTTTTGAGGCAGGACTTCTGGGATGTTGATAATGGTCTAGACCTTGAGCTATGTGTTGGATACATTCACTTTGTAAACATGTACTTTCTCCCCTCTTGTATGTCAGCTAAATCTAAAAAATTATATTTTAGTATTTTCTATTCTGTTGTTGTCCTTGTCATTGCAAAAAGAAAAGCCAGAGCCAGGTGGATTTTTTTTTTTTAACTCAAGGTGTCACATGTGCTAGACGAGTGCTATCCCACTGAACTACATCCCCAGTCCTTTTTTCTGTTTGAGACAGTCTTTGTAAGTTTACCCAGGGTAGGTTCAAACTTGCAGTCCTTCTGCCTCAGCCTCCTATGGTGCTGGGATGATGGGTGTATGCCACTATGCCTGGCTTGGATCTGGCTCTTAAAGGAGACTGGATGATGATTCTCCTACAAGAATCATCCAACCAACCTAGAATAGCAATGGCAATTTTGGTTTTTTGTCTGTTTTTCTTCCGGTAGCAGGAATTGAACTCACAACCTTGTGCTTGCCAGGCAGGTGCTGTGCTGCTGAGCTAAATCCCCAGCCCCACAATGGCAATTTTGGGCAACAGAGGCAAGGCAGGGAGCATCACAATCCCTGATTTGAAATTATACTATAAAGCTATGATGATATAAACAGTGTGGTGCTGGCAAAAACACTGACCCAAAGCTCAATGGAACAGACTAGAAGATGCAGAAACAACACTAGACATATTCAGTTATCTTATAAATGGTGCTGGAAAAACTGGCTTTTCACATGATGAAGATTAAAATTAGACCTATATCTTTCACTATGCACTAAACTAAATTCAAAATGGATCAAAGATCTAAATATTAAGATAGAAACATTAAATCTGCTGGAAGATAGGTAAAACTCTTGAAGCCATTTGTGTAGGCAAAGACTTTATGAATAAAACCCTGATCACACAGGAACTATCGCAAAAAATCACAACTAGGATCTTATCTCATTAAAAAATTTTTGTACAGCAAGAGAAACCACCAACAAAGTAAAGAGACAACATACAATGTGGGAAAATATGTTTGCCAGCTATTCCTCAGACAAAGGATTACTATCAAGAATGTATAAAGCTGGGCATGGTGGCACATGCCTGTAATCCCAGCACTCAGGAGGCTGAGGTAGGAGGATCGTTGTGAGCTCAAGACCAGCCTGGGCTACAAAGTAAGCTGAAGGCCAGCCTGAACTGCATAGCAAGACCTTGTCTCAAAAAGACAAAAAAAAAAAAAAGAATGTATAAAGAACCCAAAAAAAATCAGACCTCCTAAATTTAAAGATCCAATCCAAAAATAGGCATCTGAGATGCATACACATTTCTCAGATGAGGAAATACAAACAGCAAATAAATATATGAAAAAATGTTCAATGTCACTGGTCATTCAAGAGATGCAAATTAAAACAACACTGAGATTCCATCTCACCCCGGAAAGAATGGCTATTATCAAGAAATCAACCAATAACAAATGCTGGAGGGGCTGGAGGGAAAAAGGAACCTTTCTCCACTGTTGGTGGGAGTGTAGACTGGCACAGCCACTATGGAAATCAGTGTGGAGATTCCTCAAAAAACTAGGGTTGGAGGTCCTATTTGACCTACCTATTCCCCTTCTGGGTATCTTCCCAGAAGAATGACCACAGTGATATATGTGCATCTATGTTTTTAGCAGCACAATTTGTAATAGGTAGATCTTGGAAACAACCCGAATGCCTACCAACCAAGGAATGGATAAAAACGATGTGGTCTTTTTATATAATGGAGTATTATTCAGCCATAAAGAAGGATCAACTGGAGACTTTTATAGATAAATGGATGTAACTTGAGACCATACCCAGAATTGAACTAAATCAGATGCAAATGTGTAAACATCGTATTATCTTTCTAGTTCGAGAAGCTGAAAGAGTAAATAAGATCCAAAATGTACAATAGTTATTGTAAAATGGGAAGAAATTTCAAAAGGATAGAGAAACTGGTTTGAGGGGGTTATGGTTTGTGTCTGGGCGTCCCCCGCAAAGCCTCATGCGGTCATGGGGCGGGCTTTAAGAGTTTGATTATGGATGTGAAAGCTACACCCACCCTGGGGCAGATAGTTTTGCATATGTAACGGAGGAAAAGAGGCTACTTGCCGCCATTCCTCCCTTTTTGTGCTTGCTGCCTTTGCTATCTACCGCCGCCGCCGTGAACTGTTTCCTCTGCCATGTGGCACTCTGCCTTGGAGCCAGCCAACTATGGACTGAAACCTCCACAGACTGTAAGCTAAATAAACCTTCCCTTCCTTCATTTTAGGTGTCAGGTATTTTGTCCCAGCAACCAGAGAAAAGTAACCGAGACGGGGAATGGAAAAAATAAGGAAGGGAAAAGCAAAAGGAAAAAATATATATACATATAAAAGATACTTAAGATAGTTATACTACTGATTTCCCTTAGTTCACTGAAAGGATAAGTTCGTGCTAATAAACCTTGGACAATTAAATGCTGATATCTTGTACTCTGAGTAACTCATTTAAAAATAACCGTATGCAATGTATTAACGGTTGTTACCCTCCTATCATATTGTTTTGGAATTTTTTTCCTTTGAAATAAAATAAATAAATAAATCTGTAAATGTGAGGGAAAAAAATCATCCAGCCAGGCTGAACAGGATGGAGCTGTTTGACCTCTTGGTTTGTTTAATCTGGAGCTTGATTTACAGTGTGAATCTAAGGTCTTTGAAGAACCAGTCTCTGTTCAAGTCTGTAGACTGTGTGACCAGAGCAAAGTGACTGGAGAGACAGAATACTGTGGGTCAGTAGGCAAGTTATTTCTGGCTAGCTCTGGTCCCTTTTAGTAGCCATTTACTATCAACTCCTGCATCTGACCGAACATCCATGCTACTTCTTTTTGTTGTTTTGTTTTTTTGTTTTTTTTGGTTTTTCTCTGGTACCGGGAACCGAACTCACGACCTTGCGCTTGCCAGGCAGGCACTTTTGCCGCTGAGCTAAATCCCCAGCCCCTCCATGCTACTTCTTGATGAAACTCTTGTTGAAGAGCGGGCTGTGGTGGCACATGCCTGTAATCCCAGCATTGGAGAGGGTGAAGCAGGAAATACCCCAAGGTTGCTCACAGGCTGGACAACTCAGTGACTTAGTGAGATTCTGTCTCAAAATAAAAAATGAAAAGGTCTGGGGATGTAGCTCAGTGCAAAATCCCTGGGTTTGATCCCCAATACCACCAAAAAAAAAAAAAAAAAAAAAATCTGAAACTGTAGAAGTTTCCCCACTTCTGTGGCCCACATACCTGAAGGTCCCACCAGCATAGTGGATAAATGTATGGAGACTTCCTTTTGTCCTGTGTCTGTAACAGTTGAAGAAACCACTTCCACGGTAGAACCTGTCACCCAGCAGAGCTGGAGTCTGTTTCTTGGGCCATGGTTCTCATGCTTGCTGAGGGTATTATTTCTCTGCAGACAGACTTGTTATTTTACATTGCCAACTGGCAGGGAAACTTGCTCCAAATGGGCTGACTCCTGGGCTGGTGTTGCTCGATTGCACGTTAGCAGACGATGGGCTCAGAGAACTGGATTTGACTTTGGGGTCTGCAGTGGCCAGCTGTGTAGTGCTGAGCAAGTCCCTCAGCCCTGCGCAGCCTCAGTCCGGCACCTGTAAAGTGGGGATATCGTGGGCTGCTACGGCCCGGGGGTGAGGGGCAGATGCGGGGCTCTACCCTAGACTTCCCACCCCTCAGCAAGTGTTATTACGGAATTCTGTAGTAGGAGAGAGGATGGGGAAGTTATCTCTCTGTTTATTTCACCCCAAATGGAATTCCACCTTTCTTTCTCATTGCTCAGACAACACCAGAGCCCCACAATTTAAAGGTGGAGGGCCGGGGGTATAGCTCAGCAGCACAAGCGCCTGCCTGGCAAGCACAAGGTCCTGAGTTCAATTCCTGGTTAAAAAAAAAAAAAAAAGCTTGGTAAAGGTGGAAAGGTTTATTCTGGTTCACGGTTACAGTCCATGGTTGGCTGGCTCCAAGGCAGAAAACAGCATGGCCCAGGGCCCTGGTAGGGGAAAAGCTGCTTCTATCCTGGCCAATAGGAGGCAGAGAGAGAAGGGAGGAGAGAGATCAACCCTTCCAGGCTGCACCCCAGAGACTGTCTCCTAATAGCAAATTGGCTATCAGCCGCCATAATACAATAACCTTCCAAAACCCCACCTCAGTGAGTGAGCCTTGTGGGGATATAGATTCAAACCCCAACAGAGGAAGCCCCTGCCTGAGCGAGGGCAAGCGCCTGAGCTTCGTGTTTTCCTCACACCCAAAGCCACCCAGCTAGGCCCTGTGCAAGGGTCTGGAACTCAACCTCTTCCGGGGGCCATGCTGCCCGCTGGCTGTGGATCCCAAGACTGTCTTCCCGCCTTTCAAAAGCCAGTATTAGGAAACAAGAGCTGACTGGAAAGAAGGGCTGACAGCCAGAGGATACAGCAGTGGTGGGATGGGGCGAGCTATGTCCCCCAATAAAAGACCATTTGGGGAACTGGAGTCTACTGAAGGGCTCCACAGGATGGGAGGGGAGGGACAGTGGGGCAACGGCAGGAAAGCTGCGCCCTGAGTGAGTCTTCTTCATCCAGGACTGTCTCTTTTCTGGCTGGAACATTTGATTGACCCTGATCTCCTTGGGCCAGTTCCTGTAATTCTGCAGGCAGATTAAACCTCACAACGATCACATGTTTTGTGCTCATCGAGGACAGGACTACAATAAGGAGGGGCGCGCCCTACTCAGATGTTATCTTAGGGTCACTGGATGACTTGGGTTTTGGCAATCCAGGGAAAGTTTTAGCAGTGAACGTGTTTAAGGCTTTCCATTAGAGTGCAGAACGCCAAGCAAATGGAGCGGGGTCTAAGGACAGCTGGTAAATGGCAGGTGTGGAAGTCTACCCAGTTCCCTGCTGACTGACCTTCACTCCAGAGTTGTTTTATTATCACAGTCACTTTATAGGTGAGGTGGAGACAGTCACAGGCTGAATGTCCCCGCGCTTTTGGGCCTTAGGCGTTGCGCCCGAGCTGCCTGCATCTTGATTGCGGGCAGCACGGGTCCTGGGAACCGGAACTCTGAGTGTTTTCCCTGGGGTGCGTGTGGGCACAGGGAGAGGACCCCCTTCTCTTAGGGCTGTTTCTGCTCAAGACCCCTGTGGGAAGTGTCACAGGCTTGAGACAAGCTCTCCCTTGTTTAGGAGCCTTCCCTAGGCCTCAGAAAAAGACTGCAGGTGGCCCTGGTGCCCAGGCCGTGGGGCGGCCACAGACATGAGGACTAGAGTCCACTCTCACAGGATGTGACCTGGGAAACCTTCCAACTCCTCCTCCTCTCTCTATTTCTTTTCTTTTCTTTTCTTCCGGTACCAGAAATCGAACTCACGACCTTGCACTTGCCAGGCAGGCGCTGTGCCACTGAGCGAAGTCCCCAGCCCCTCTCTATTTATTTTCGTTAGGCTTTCTGAGCAGGGTCTTGCTCTGTAGCCCAGGCTGGCCTAGAACTGGTGGCCGTCCTCCTCCCTCAGCCTCCTGAACACGGAGATCACCGGGATGCTGCGCCACGCCGGCTCGGCTCGGTCCTCCTCCTTTCAGAGCCAAGCAACCGGGGCCGAGGCGAAATGACATTTTATATTCACAGGCTAAGTCAGCCGTAGCCAAACTGCTAGCTACTTAGAACTGCAGTCTCAGCCCAGTGCTCCCCCAGGGGTCTCCCAACTTTGTGCTGTACCTCTCCACCCTTTGGTTGCACAAGAAGGTGCCAGACGGGCCGTGGGCGGAGCAACGGGCGCAGAAGGTGGAGAGGGTGAAGAACGGCGCTCAGGCACGGATCTGGCCCTTTAAAAGGGCGGGTCCCAACCCACCAGGCCCCGCCCCCGGGGCGGCGCAGG